TTTTAAAAAGATCCAATTTAAAAAAAAAGAAAATTGGTTGAGCTATCAACTTTACAGTTGGTGCAACAATTCAGTGTTGCAGAGGGAAATACAGAACTGCTCATAGTAATTACTCTAATTTTGACAAGTTAGGAGCATCAAAAATTTGTACCCAAACAAGGCAGTCAGTTTTCACTGGTGGAACATGCACATTTAAGGAAAAAACTTTCAGAAAGGTGGTTCCTTTAAGATTTTGAGATTGAAAAAGAGATGAACTAGGGAAGAGTGAACGGGCTTAACTACACATGCACCATAATATGTTGTTATTTGTACTGCAGTAGAACTGAAACATACTACAGCAAACAGCATCTCCTCCTGCAAAACCTTGCTGTTGAACATAAGAAAGTACAGTCCTTCACTCAGAAAAATGTATGATTTAGACATAACATGGGAAAGGAAAAGAAAAATTATTGCCATTTTGAGGCTAGCTAGCTTAAGTATAAAGATAATAATCTGTTGTCTAGATTTCATTTTTTAATCACAAGCTATTAATCTGTGCAACTATAGAAATGCTTTTAATATTTCCTGATTGACAGAGAAGAACTGCAAGTTTTCCCTTATAGCCAAGCTCCATTTCCTCAGTTGTTTGAATATTTGCAAAAAGGTAATTTAACTGAAGTCTGCAGGCCAACTGAAGGAACAAAATGGTGGTCCTCAATTCACACTTCTGAAATACTAAACACACATTGCATCAATGGAACAGAAACAAAAGTAATGGTAAACATTCAGCCTGTAAATAGATGACTTCACTATGAAATCCGATTTTTCCAATAGAAATACTTTATTGTGCTTTCAAAATATTTTTTTCCCATTGGAAATTTCGTGCATTTGCTTTAGAAAAATATGTGTCTCAATCTGCAGTTCAGATTCTGATTATTTTTCAAGTAAATAACCCACTATTTAGAAAACAAAGGAGAATAATTCTTAAGACAGTGTTAGAGTGCAAAGAGAAAAGGTGGTTGGGAAGCTTGAGGCAACCTGAGGCCTCACTCGAAGATAAATCTTCATTAAAATGATACACATTTTAGAACTATATTCTTAAATAAGTTTCTTTGCTGTAACTTTGGCTGCCTTAGTGTTAGTAAAAAATGCCGCTGTGTTAGTGCCAAGGACAAACTAATAAATCCAGGTGAGATCCTTTCTTCCATCTTAAGTTATACAGATGCTATTGGGTATAGTTGACACATTCTCCTTGATCCTGTTTGGGGCAAGGGACAGCTGAGGTGATTCAAACAGCTTTAAAGCAGACATTTCATCATCTTCCAGAATTTTGGGTTGTAATTCTTTCCAACTTCCAGTCTGTCCACCTTTGCTTAATTTCAAGGGGAGAAACAGGGTTTTCTGTTAGCAGAAGTGGTTTTTTTTAAGTTTTTTTCACTCAAATAAAGATTAATCTTTTTTTGGTCTGGGAAATATCTGTCAGAGTTATGTGATCATTAACTGGTAGTACCATTTTTTCAGATAGTGTGCAAATAACACCTATAATCACAATCACTCGTTGGTTAATGTAACCTGCAGTAGGTTTTGATTCACATTAAGACTGTTCTATAGTTACATTTGTACTATTCTATAGTAACTTCTGCAGAATTGCTGAAGTTAATTCTGACTGCCAGCTAGAGAAAGCTTCTTCTCTTTGCTTCAATAAGTAGACCGCAGAATTTTTCCACAGAATCACAGAATGGTAGGGGTTGGAAGGAAGCTCTGGAGATCATTTAGTCCACCCCCCCACCTCGCTAAAGCAGGTTTAAAACTTTTCAAAACTTTTTCTTTAAATCTCGTACTGTGACAGGTACAACCTCTTATTGCCAGGTACACCACAGATGCACTACAAGCAGTAGTACTGGACCAGTATTCAGCAAGAACATTATTACATTCTTGCATGTTTTCATGAGTTGGACCTCAGAATATAATCCAGTACTAGTAAGGCTAGGTAAGCGGAGAAACAATACTAGAGAGAAAATGTGTGTGTCCATCTGACTGAAAAATGGTCAGTCTCCACCTGCTTGTACTAGGAATGGTTTTGCTATTGCTGTTATTAGGACAAAAACAGGTCCTGAGTGCTTCATCACGTCAATTTGTGTGTCTGTATAGATATATATAAAGAGCAAATGGATATATTTTATTTAAGGGTTTTGGCAGTATTTGAGCAACATAAGTCAGATATAATACACAGAAGAAGCACAGTTATCCATTGAGGTCACTCAGATTACTAAAAACCAGTCCCTGAAGTTGCTGACATGAAGCTGCTGTCAGGTAAAGCCTGACATTTTTGGCCCTTAGCACCAGAGCTGCAAAAACTCCAGTGCTGTCCTCCTGCAAATCAAGGTTAGTCAAGGAGTAGAACATGGTGGCTCTGCCAGCTCCCTTGGCTTTGGCTGTCATCTTTGCACTGATGACTCATGAAGCTTCTTCCATCTCTTAAAATCTTCCAGTCGTGGGTGGTAGCCTGCTTGTCTGTTGTCTCTTAGTGAGAGCCTTTCCATCAGCTTAGAAGAAATGTGTGCAGCAGGCACTGGCCTGTTGTCTGAGGATTCTCCTCCTCTCCTCTCCGTCACCGTTGACACTGGTTCCCACCATGTAGGCCCTATTCTGGGATCTTTTTTTTACTCTTTTCCCTTATCATACACATCCAGAGCTACTAGCGTCCAGATCTTCTCTCTCAACATGTCCAAGTCCCACAACATTCTATAATCCCAAAGCTCACTCTCTCTTTGGCCTTCATTAAATGTTTAAACCTGCTCTGTACAAGCGTAAGCTTCTGACATCTGCTTTGAAGCAAGTCCTGTTTATCAAACAGCCTTCATTCAATCTGCACAGGTAATGATTCCAGTGATGCTTTTATAGCTTGGCTTTCTCACCCATTTAGCTTCTCTTGGCACAACTAACAGCACCTTCATTTCTGTATGCTCTGTTCTTCTCTGCAAAGCATTTACACACTCTATATTTTCAAGTTACTCAGAAAGACATAGTCCAGCCAGCAAACAATGAGGTGTGTTAACTTGAATACAAGTTTAAAATGTCAAAATACTTCATTTTCTAATAAAATGTTTAATGAAATATTCAATATACTCTTTGAGCAGGTATAGTCTTGGATAACTTTATTGTTGTTGGAATTCTTTAGTTTTCTGTTGAGAAAAAGATATTTTTCATGGACAACACAAGATACATACAACCTAAGGAGTGTGTGTGGGGGAGGGGTTGTTCTACATAAATCTTTGATTTAGTTTAAAAAATGAAAGTTACTTAGAAAAATCTTTGCAGACCACTGCTATTTCTAGCAACCTTTTTCAGTTGAAATTAAAACCATTCAAAACAGTGTTTCAGCATTCTTAAAGCATATGTTTAAACTGTTTTCATTCCTTTAAACACTTTCAATTAGTAAAGCTGCAATTTTTAAATGAATTATTTGATTTTGTTCAGATAAGACAGTTCAGGTGAACAAAAATCAAGTCTGTCTTGAATTTTCAAGGTATGTGAAAATACTAAGTTTCCGTTTCCCCAAACTAAAGCACTTATTTGAAAATCTGAAATTGCTACTCTACCAAAGAGCTGCTTTTTGCCTGACTTTATTATTTTTTTTCCTTGTTATCTTCATTCTGTTGACCTGATTTCTCTCCTAGATTGTGAGGAACAGTCTTCAGTATTTGGGAAACTCGTCCACACTTATGACACTCATGAGAATAATAACTTAGAAGAATTATTTTTAAAAAAACCACAACTGTGCTGAAATGCTTTGAATGTTTGTATTTTAAAAGCTTTTTTTTTAGTATGTTTTTAATGAAACTCCCTTCATCACATTTCTTAGCATCAATGTACCCATGGCTGCATGTACTCTTCCTTTTTTTTTTTTTTATGTTGTCATCAGATTCTTATCACTGTGAATTAGACAGTGTGATGTAGAGTGTAGAGATTGTACTGATTTTATAGACATTTGCTTTTTTTTTTTTTTTTTTTTTTTTTTTTTTTTCACAAGAAGCTTTTTGTTTTTTTTTTTTTTTTTTTTTTTTTTTTTTTTTTTTTTTTTTTTTTTTTTTTTTTTTTTTTTTTTTTTTTTTTTTTTTTTTTTTTTTTTTTTTTTTTTTTTTTTTTTTTTTTTTTTTTTTTTTTTTTTTTTTTTTGCACAGTAAGGCTTGTTCTGAGCATGACTGGAAGAACTACAAAACACCTATCAGATGCCTAATTGGTATTTCCGGAAAACTAAAAAAATCAACACCCAAACAAAAAAAAAAGCCCAGTACAAATTGCCAGTAATACAATTTCTTTTTAAGCATCAGAGCCTGTTTCTTATTAGTCAGTAACAGTTTAGCAATGATAGCTGTCACATTTGCAGTTAAAGATAAATATCTGTCTTTACCTGAGGCATTATTTGTCTAAAGAAAATGAGTCCCAGTGCATTCTTATAAAATCAAACAACTTGCTTTTGAAGGATTGCTGGTTGGGTGGTTTTAGCAAAATTAGCACCAATGAAGTTATTGGAGAGAGTAAACATAGAAGCACGAAGCAGAAGAGCTGAAGGTGACTTCTGTCCTGTGCAGAGCTCCTTTGAGCCAGCTGGGTCTCACCCCCCCCACAGACTGAACAGAGAGGGCAGGTGAACATGTCATTCTTCCCTGCTGTGCCCATGTAGACTAGGCCTCATAGAGGCAATCACCTGCATGTAAAAACAGGGAGTGCAAGTCATTGGATTACAAGTTAAAAATGACAACAAGTGTTGACCCAAAGAGGGAGCTGTGTGGTGGTTTTAGGATTGCACAATGTCTTCAAGTAAGTACAGCTGTGAGAGAGTTTTGCCCTTTGCAGGCAGGACCTGGAGGCATAATGACGAAAAAAGATAGCGACTGCAAAGATGTCATGAAGGGAGTTAAACACCTCTGAGGATTCTCAGAGAACACTCAAAAACAGAAATGTCAAGACACTACACTGGGGTTTGCGTTTTGTTTTCCTTAACTACTGATGTTCAGATATTGATCAGTGGAATAAAGTTATTGAGCAGCTGGGAACACCCTGTCCAGAATTCATGAAGAAGCTGCAGCCGACAGTACGGAACTACGTTGAGAACAGACCCAAGTATGCTGGCCTCACTTTCCCCAAACTTTTTCCAGACTCTCTCTTCCCAGCTGACTCGGAACACAACAAACTCAAAGGTATGTCTGACAAAGGGACATGGTTCACATGTCAACAGCTACAACGCAATGAAGATTTTTTTTTTTTTCCCAATTTTTCTTCACTCTAGTTGCAGTCCCTTTTAATGCAGTTAGTTGCAGAGATGAATGACTGCATGGGTTTTGTTCAGCCAAGAGGCAGCTTTTATCTCCAAATGATCATCTCCAAATGATTTTTGGAGACCCAGGTGCTTGGGCAGCCAAGGGAACATACATTATCATTGATGTCTTGAGCATAATCCCATGGTTTTCTGTGTGATGTTTCTGTACCATCAGGAACTGAGGTGTTGCTTTACTCTCATGCTTAAACTTGGAACACAAAGTAACAGTAGAACTTCATCAGAAGATCTTGGCACTTGCACTGTTTTGTTCTAGGTGAAAAATACCAGTTCAGCCAGATGCCTGCCTCGTAGTTCTACCTTTACTAGAAAATAGAAAGATATTAGAAATGTCAGCCAAAATGGTCTTGATGGAGCTGAGGTTTAATTTCTGCTATGGGTACATTTCTTTTGGAAAACGTTGTGAGTCGGTTTGGATATGTGAAGTAGAGCACTAACTTAATTACAGTGTGACTAGATATACCTCTGTAAAATATAAATTGCAATGATTTTAATCATATATTGAAATCTTGTTTTACTTGAACAGGGCATTGACCTGCAATTTGGAAGAGTGATTGATGTGTGTTTAGTATAGAAAGGATTTCTTGTCACAGCTCTGGAACCCCTGCAAACTTGTACTGTGTATCAGTTCTGCTCCACTTGAGTACTTGGGGCCACTTACTATGGTGGCATGTAATGGTTTTCAATTGCTTGCAATTTGCATGTCATTATATTACCCAGAATACTCTTCCAATTAACTAGTGTTTCATTGCGAGGCTGCTGTCTTGGCTCTGGGAGCAAAGTGAAAGGTCTGAGCAGATGCTTTTGGATACACGGAATCTTATATTCCTACTACAAGAAAATCACATAATGGAATTTTCTTGGATGTGGAGCTAATGAACAGAAATTACTGTAAAACAGTGCTGTTCTCTTTTGGATACAGGAAGCACATGCATTTGAGCATACTGAATGGCAGTTTTTAAGATATACTTACAGAAAAAGAAACCATTCATTAAAAAAATTCTACTTGTGCATCATTGTATGATCCCATGCACTGCCTAAATATTTCACCGTAATGTAATATTAATGGTTTAAATAGATTCACTTTTACTTACCCATGTCTGATGAGACACCTAATGATATTTTTACACTTATATCTCTTTTTCCTTTCATTTTCTTTTTCATTTACACAGGAAATAATTTTGATCATGGAAGAGCTTAGAACACTACATTGATACTAATACTAGAAACATATATTGTTAACATTTTTTACATGGGTTTAGATGGTACTATATTTGTTACAAACTCTAAACAGTAAAAACCAATTTGGGTAATATAAAGATGAGCTTGTGTTCTGATAGGCACAATGGGCTATATTATCAGGTAAAACAAATAAATGTTACAACATAAAACTCAATGTACATATAAGGTTATGCATTTTTGTAGTAGAGTATGATGTGTCCCACTGATTTAAACTTTGTTACGTGGGCCAAACAAGACTTGAGCAGTTCCGAGGCACTTCCATATCATTATGTGTTGATCCCAGGCTACAGATTTGACATTATCGCTTCTAATGGGATGCCCTAAGATAAGCCTGATACTTGTGCCTCACTAAAATATTTAATGCTTCACAGCGGCCTAAGTGAAAAACTTTAAAATGTACAGAAAAGTTTGGATGTTTCTGTGAGCCACTGTAAGAGTACCTGTAAGTTTCAGGCTTTGATTTAGTAGCGCCACGGTTTTAGACTTCATTATGCGAACCTTTGTTTTCTGATCCTGGCAGTAATGCAGATACCTCAAGCACAATTTTCTTGGGTATATTATTCAGCCCTCTACATGGAATCTGCATACATCATGTAAAATCTCATTGAAGCTTGTTACGGGACTTATGGTATGCAGCCCTAATGTTGTCACTTTACTAATGAATCCAACCTAAAAAGATTACTGAAGAACTCTTTCTATAACAAGGTATGGGGCTGAAGTATGTACAAAGAATCTTTAAAGGGGTTGTGTCATTGTTACTTTCCTAACGCAATTAACCCTCCTCTGGAGGCAGTGATTGTTTTGTACTAATACTGTGTTTATCTGATTTCATTGTTCTAGCCAGCCAAGCCAGGGACCTTTTATCAAAGATGCTAGTCATTGATCCAGCCAAGCGAATATCAGTAGATGAAGCCCTACAGCATCCATACATTAATGTCTGGTATGACCCAGCAGAAGTGGAGGCGGTAAGTGAGGCGTGAGTCCTTACTTCAGACTGCTAAACACAGATATGATTCATAGATTCCTGCCTGTTTATAACA